TTTTTTGTTAATTGGGGTTTCACAGAAATTCTCCCATCAGTTTAAATAGTGACAATGTCCTTCTCTTGATTGGTAGAAGGGGGGAAACTGACATTTCCTCACTGCCTTTTATGAGTCAGATATGGTACTAGTCCTTCATATACATTATTTTATAGACTTGCAAAATAACTTAAGATAAATGTTCTACTCATTTTATAAATGAGAAAATTGAGGCTTACAGAAATTCCGTAATACGCAACAGGCCTATCAAGAGGGTAAACTTAGATCTTATTTCAGATCCGTGTGAGTCTAAGGTCTGAACGTCTTTAATAAGGACCCTGACATATCAGACAGTTTATCGTTATTCTTGAAATAAGCTGAACTGGAGCTTACTTTTAGCTCTATGTGGAAAGAAGATTGATTTAGTAAAGGGATAGTTTAAACAAGATGTTGTAAAAATTAAGAAGATAAGCCTGGATCTTGTACTTTAACCTTGTGTAGCTTTGGGTAATGTATTCCAAAGTGTTTGACTCTCTTTTCCATGTCTCATATGAAATGGTATCAGGAGATGACTAGACGATCTTTAAGGGTGAGATGGTAATCAAAATATTTAAAATCAGTGTGGCCCAACAACAGGCCAAAGAGAACAGATGGCCAATCAATCAGAACTGAGACCAGCTCTAATGAACCAGTACCAAGTGTAAGATGTTTTCCAATGTACCCAGGTTTTATGTAGTTACCATATAAAATGGAGAAGCCTTTCTATTTGGAAACATTGTGAAGACTTATTTTGACATATTATGTATGTGAATATCATAAATTTAATTTACATTTTTAAATCCCATATTTGTGGCATCTGTTATTTGTTTCTGGTATATTGAATAAATTGGTCTTCAACTAAATTTCCTAAGTAGCCATGTATTGATATTATTTTCAGCAATGCTCATGTGCATTTAAAATAAAGTCAAACCCCACTAAGCTAATAATTGTAGAAGTGTGTACAATTATTAGTGTGCAAATTCTTATAACCCAGAAATATTTTAAAGAAAACATCATATTTCTTTGTAATACTATAGGATAGACTGAAAAATACTAGCCACAGCAGAGAAACAAGTATCTCATTGTTTAAAAAAAAAAGAGGAGGATTGCATAAAATTTCCTGGAACGTTATTTACTGGTGTTTAGTTTTTGCTTCCTCATTCTCAATCAAAGGAACAGAGAACAACAAATAAAAATGTTAGATACTGCTTTCGGGAAATGCACAGGAAGCTGATAAATTTTATAGCCCGAGCTTTCATCTCAACGCTTTGAAAAAAAGTCAAACCCCATTAAAATCATTTAACAAACAACATCATGTGAATAGCTAGATTCCAAACTGTAAGTCCTTAGGAAAGCAAAGAAAAAATTTAATGCAAAATATTCTAAAGTTAAAATATTCTTGTTTCTAAAAACAATTGACAAACAACGTATTTCTAAAAACAACTGACAAACAACAATTGACTAAAAACAATTGCATATATCAAAAACCTGTAAGTAAAGTAAGGTCACATAGTTGAAAGATCAATGAACTATGAATTGCAGAGAAGGTTCTAATTCTAGAATTGACCTTGGAAAAAATCATTTAACTTCTTTGGCCTGTTTTTTCCTTTCTATGAAATAAGAGGCAGTGGTGTAATCAAGTCACACAGACTGAATTCTTTAAATGTAATCATTGTAATTTGCAAGCTTTGAGATCTTAAGCTGCTTGGTACATCTTTCTGAGGATAAATCATCACTATATGACATGGATATATTTTTTATGGAAATACAATGTGAAATAAAGGTTAGGTATCTACTATGATGATTGCCATGTAGTAAATGCTCAACAGTTATTACTATAATAAGCAGAGGGTGGTGGCAAAGAATATTAATTTTATTAAATAGTCACTATGGTATTATTCAGATAAAATATTCTCTGATAAAAGCTACATCTATATTTATATTGAAATACTGACCAGTTTGCCAGTAACTAAGAGAAACAGAGTCTTCAGATTTTTCTGTGATTGATCAGATTCAGGAATTAAGACTCTAGAAATAACCACTTGATTTTTATAATTCTAATATACAAACCAATCAATCAATCATTCAGTAACTGGGCAGTTTGGTAACCTGTTAATTCAAAACCAAACAGAAAGAGGCTGATTTAGTTATGGCAATTCCAAAGTCTACACCAGGTACACAGGTTAAGAAATCCTAGCTTCTGCCATCTGTTCATTGGAATAATAAGGGGGAGAAAGGGGGATTAGTGACTCTGAGATAAGATTACTTAGCAAGACTGGATATGGAAAAGGAGTGGAGCCCATCTCCACTTCATGGAGTAAACTCCACTCCCAAATTTGGCAAGACTGATTCTTTTATTGTGTTTTATAAGGAATGTATATTTGGTATTCACATTCAGATTTCTCACATATATTTGGTCTTCACCACATTTTCTAGCTCACAGCTCCCAAAACCCTTGCAATTTCCTGAGTGATAACAGCAATGGGAGCATCTTTTGTCATAATATTTGGTCTCTAATCCTAGTTCCTGAAATCACTTCAGAGCCAAAAAAGGTGAAATGGGGGTCTTGTTCTTCATAACAAGCCCCTTTCCAGGAACACTGGGTTTAAATTAATGAGGTGCCGTTTGGAAAGTACCTAAGGATGAGGCTGTTTGCCAGGGAAACTGAAGTTCCAACCTGAATAGAAGGTTGGAACTTCAGTCCCACCCCGTGATTTTTGAGGAAGGGGGAGGGGCAGGAGATTGAGTTCAATCCCCAATGGCCAATGATTTAATCAATCGTGCCTATGTAATGAAGCCTCTATTAAAAACCCAAAAGGATGGAGTCTGGAGAACTTCTGTGCTGGTGAACAGGTAGAGATTTGGTGATAGTGGTGGCCACATAGAGGGCATGGAAGCTCCATGCTCTTTCCCCATACCTTGCCCTGTGCATCTCTTCCATCCAGTTGTTCCCAAGTTATATGCTTTTATAATAAGGTGGCAATCTCGTAAGTAAAATGTTTCTCTGAATTCTGTGAGCTGCTCTAGCAAATAACTTGACCTTGAGTAGGTGGTTGTAGGAACCCCCGATCTACAGCCATTCAGTCAGAAGTACAGGTAACAATCTAGACATGCAACTGGCATCTGAAGTCCAAGGAGGGGGTCACTGAAATTTCCAATCTATAGCTGATCAGTTATGGGGTGATAACCTGGCTTGTGATTGGCTTCTGAAGTGGGAGTAGGACAGTTTTGTAAGACTGAACTTTCAACCTGTGGAATCCAATGCTATTTCTGGGTACACGGTGTCAGAAGTGAGTTGAATTCCCCCAGAACTGAGCTGGTGTCCTGCGCATTGCTTGCTGGAGGTGTGGAGAAACCCTCTGACACACACATATACATTGAAATCGGGTCCAAGAACCCAATTAGGAGATTTACACATCAGGACAAGAAATTATACCTTGAAATAATATAAATAAGGTGAAAGGATAGTTTTTCCCCTTTGCTTTATCACAGGGCTGCTGTAGGCACAGTGCCACTTCTTTCTTTCTAAGCCTCTTCCTATCTGCTTCTCTGTATTCTGGGGCCTGAGTTGATCCACTTTGATCCAAGCCAGCCGAGATGGAAATGCTCTAAGTCAATCAACTTGTAAATACCCCTGTCTTAAATTTATCTTTAAGGCAGTGGACACATTACACCATAAGCAAAAAGAGCCAAAATTGGACACTTCTGAATTCACATAGTTGATGAGCATCTCTTATGTGCCAGATCTTCGCCAGTTTCTTAGAGCCTCCTACCAGAAAACTTCCAGAATAAGAGATATATCCCAAGGCCTTGGAGGTGCTTTGCCACCATACTCTATCACCCTAGCCATCCAGTAGTTCAATTTTTATTCTCCTAAGGTTTGTTTTATTAAGCTTTTATTTCTTCTGACATTGGGTCCAAGTTTTTGTTCCCCTACACCTGCCCTAAATTTATCTCACCTTTCCTTGGATGCTAAAGTGGTATCAAAGAAGTCATTGAGTCATCAGACCTGAAAATTCTTCAACTGAAACCTCTGGAGGTGTGCTCAAGTTTTAGAGTTGATTACCATTGAGATACTGACTCTAAAACAAGATGCATCAATCAGTATCTTGATATTCATATATTCAGAATAAATAATGTCATGAAGTTACAATATATTGGGGAGATACCTCTGTTTTGAAAAAATTCTTTTGATAAATTTTAAAAGCAGAGACAAGGCAGAAGATTTTGGCCTCATTTGGTTTACCCTGAAATCTGCATCACTTTAGAGTTTAAGAGGAGAGTTGGAGGATTCTAAAACATGGTATTGATTTAAGGACCATCTGCTACTAATCTGAGTCAGAGAGAGAAATATTGCAATTTTAGTATACAATGGATTTGACCACAGCATTTAGTGATGTATATTTACATTCATATAAGGATTTTGAAATGTTTAAGTAGTCTTATTTCACAAGAGTATATCAATCAAACATTTTCAAAAGAAATGAACATTGTAAAGCACAAACTATTTATGTTATGTTACAGAATATATGTTTTAACAGTGGAAGAATCATAGGAACTTATGATGATGTGTAATGGTATGATATAAAATAGATCATTAATATGCTCCTCTGATAATTAATGGTTCTTCACAAAGACAATGAAATTGTCCAGTTTTGGCAGAGATTTTCTAAGCTCGTTGATTAATTTAATGAAAATAACTATAATTATTTCAGTGGCATGTTTCCCACTGGTAGAGAGCAATGACCACTTGCAAAAATAGTTTTAAATAAAAGGCTCAGAGTACTCCAGTGACGTTTTAAGTTGTACTTGTGAAACACAATCATATACAATGGTTGTTTTCTACCACAGCACAGAATATATCTCTCAATGAATCATGTGCCATAATGTATCTGATTTAAAATATTCTAAGTAAATTAAATTATTTTTGATAAAATATTAACAAATTTTTGTCTTGTTTGTGCATTTAAAAATATACTTACGGGTTATCCAATAGCAGTATTACGGGATTAAGTTCTTTCTTTGGTCTATAATATGCCCTGAGAGGAACAATAAAATTATACAATCCATTTCCAGCTGTTTCAGCTGCAACTATAATTAGCTTATTTTTGAATCCATAGGCTTTTGCGTCCTCATAGTAGTTATGCTGGCAACTCTAGAGAAGAAAAATTATACAAAGAAAGGCCATTTTTATACTCCACTAATATTGGGTAAAAATATTTAGAAGATCTGGAAATGGGAAATTAATCTAACCTAGTAAATCCTTTGTTTTCTAACAAATTTGAAAATAGTTACATTTTTCTATGCCAAGTTCTCCAGCCTGAAGGTGTGCATGGACGAGACAAATGAATTGCAGGTATGCAGCTTGATCTGGGGAAGGAAAAGGCAGCAACACAGTGTACACATGTTCCACTGCAAACTGAAACTTGCTGCCAGATGACGTCTGGGTATCAATATTAAGGAATCGTCACAAGGTGTATGTATATCAAAGCATCATGTTATATACCTCAAATATAGACAATTTGTATTTCTCAATCATACCTCAATAAAGCTGGAAAAAAATAAATCATCTGCCTCTGACTTTATTTCCAGAAATAGAGTAATATTAAAATTAAATAACCTTGGAACATTCCAAGTATGGAATACCAAAAGGATGGATATCAATATCGAAAGGGATTTTTTTTTTTGGTTAAAAAACAAAAATTAAAAGAAAAAAACCCTAATTGTCTAAATGTATACCTGAGCTGGCAAGATAACGATGCAAATACTGAAATGTAAAATACTAATGTTAACAATAATAACAACAAATTACCAAAATGTGTTTCCTGAGGATATTTTGCTACCTCCCAGGGAGCTAGAATTTACTGGACTTAGCATTATTAAATCAAGATGCTTTTAAACAAAATTATCTGCCTGGATAATTGCTTTAGTGTTCTGGGTTTTTAATCTTTATACGTCTTTATGAGGGTTTCTTTTTATTTGGGTTGAGATTTGTTGATTCTCTGTGGATTCATCATCAACTCTGGAATGTTCTCTGCCTTTATTCTTTAATAAAAAGTTACAGAACATTGTTGGGAACAAGGTACTTTGAGTCAGCAGAAGCAATAAACACCAGAATTAGAATCACAAAGATTACAGATTTCACTGTTATAAGATTCAGAATAGAAAATGAGCGTGTTTACTATGTTTAAAGAAATAAAAGAGAACATTCAAAGCAAGAGCAAAGAACAAGAGGGTATTTAAAATATTCACTTAGATGTTTAAAGAAATTGCATATACTCTATTCTGGAACTAAAAATATAACAATTAAAAACAGAAGCTCAAAAGATGATTTAAATTGCCCATTTGATGCATCTGAAGGGATCAACTGCATGATTGAGTTGAAGTAATTACTCAGAATACAGAAAGAAAAGAGAAAGTAGTATGGAAAAATTAAGATACTTGGAAGATAGTGTGAGAATGTCTAATACACATTTAAAAAGAATACCTGAAAAAGAGATGCAAGAATCAGCAAGAAGCACTATTCACATAAATATTGACTGAGGATTTTCTAGAATTAATGAAATATCCAAATCCTCAGGTTCTGGAAACCCAATGAATCCTAATCCAAATAAATAAAGAGAAATCCAGTGTCATACACATTGTCATAGTGCAGAACAGCCAAGACAAGAAGAAGATCTTAAAAGCGGCCAGAGAGAAAAGAGAGCTTTAACTACCAGAAACACAAATTAGAACGATGGCCGACCTCTCATCAGCAGTGTGGAGCACAGAAAGTAGTAAATAGAATCCTAACAGGCTAAAAGAAAAAGAAAATTCAGAGCCTGGAATTGGACACCCAGCAAAACTATTCTTCAAGAAGGAGGACAAAATAAGGACACATCTAGGGAAAGTGAAATTGAAAGAGTTTACCACTAACAGGACCTCATTAGTAGAATTTCTAAAAGTAGATTTCTAATCATGGAAGTAGGAAGATCAATCCAGCAGGAAGGATTAAGGCATAAGAAAGAATGGAGAAATGGGGAGTGGTAAAGGAGAAGGACAGGCAGTCTTCACTGGAAGTATGATTGGAGAATTACTACTATAGACAGGATCTGAAGCCACATGAAATTAGGTCACTTACAAAGAGATTGTGGAAGGAGAGGATGACAGGCTGAGGCTGAGATTATTAAGAACTTCATTTTTATGAGATCAAATGAGGTAAAAGAACTAATTTAGAAGATTTAGAAGTAGCTCAACTAGTAAGAAAAAAAAAGAAATAGAACAAGGACAAAACAGGGAATTTAGTATTGATAAACCTTGACCAAAAGGAGCCTGCTGATACTAATGCAAAACGGACTGGGCAACAAAATACCTGCTCACAGACTTCATGGACACAGTAGGATTGGCTGCATAACCCCATCTGCTAATCGCAAAATGGGCACTCATTTACAGAGCAGACCACCACCTCCAGCCAGACTAACGCCACCTAAAGAATGGATAACCCCAGATGTTATCGGCCAATCAACAATACTCGGAAACATCGCTTTTTTACTTTGGTGAAGAGACAACTTGTCTTTTGGCTTTAAAAGACTGTTTCTCCTCCAGCAAGCCTCATCTCTGAAAGCTTAACTTTTCCTGTATCAGGTTCCCTTCTTGGGAATCTGTGGAATCATTTTGACTCTTTGGTTTCCCAACATTACTTTCATCTTTGTGTGTTAAAAAGTAAAATGCCACCAGATGTGGCATTTTAAATAAAAGGCTCAGAGAAGATGATATTATTTTGGAAATCCTCTTTAAGGAAAAAAACACAAAAGTCATACATAAAAAATCAGTCACAGGTTCTTGGAAGGGGCCAATACAGGAGAAGGGCTCTGAAGCTTAAGATGCATCAAGGTTACCAAAGATGCAGAGCGAGCCAGTGCTAGAAATACTGTGAAGCAGGAAAGCAAAACAAGGACTGACAAAAAATAAGGCATCGAGAGACGGAACTGTCCACCTTAATGGACCCAGATGAACATCTGGGAGCAGGGGTAAGGGTTCACAAAAAATCTTTAGGAAGATAGAGGCAGAAATTTTCTAATGATCTGCTAATCTTCCTCAAGAGTGACAGCTACAGCCAAGATTCATAATGTTTATCACATGGAAAAACTAATAGTAGTAAAAATATTAACAAAATGTATTAAGTGCCTATACATTTATTACGTTCCTGGCACTGTGAAAAGCTTTCTCCATGCACGAATTTATATCATCTTCACAAGAACCCTATAAGGTTCATATTAAAATTACAAGCATTTTGGAGATATGGAAACTGAAGTTTAATGATAATGTTATTTGCCCAACTGGCTGAGCCTGGAAGCAGAGAGCTGGGATTTTAACTCCAGCTAACTCCAAAATATAGAATAAAAGAAGAAATTCCTGGTTAGAATTAGTGGCACGTTTTAATTTCTGAGAGATTGGGGGTTTGAGAGTCTTCTCTTTATCTGCTCTCTGACTCATCATGAAAACAAATTCTTACCCAGGTCATGTCCAATGGCCATACTGTGAAAGAGAAAGATTCCTGCTTTCTTGGAATCTTTCTGTTTCGGATGGTTTCTCCTGAATATCAAGGCAGGAACCAAGAACTACTATAAAATCTTTAAGAAAGGGGACATTAAGCAAGACACTTCCAGTCTAATAATTCAATAATGAATTATGACTAGCTAATTTCACCATGTCAAGCGATTCCACTTTGAGATTTGAGGCAAAAATGTCTAGTAAAATAAATAGAGCGCATCTGGCCAAAATGATCTGGGGAGACTCTGGTTTGAGGCTCTGGCATCTTTGTTTTTCTCTTTGAAACAATGACTGACCAACTCATTGGCTACATTAGTAGAGGGTAAAGCACTTGGGTAACCTTTAGTGCAGTTAAGAAAGTAAAATTCACCACTTTATGTATTACATTTACATTTGAAAGATAATATTCTTTTAACATATTTCAGTCAAATGACTATACAAAATTATTTAAATACATGTAATTACACAATGCCATCATTTTAGTTTTACAGAAAATAACAGCAGTAAGTGCTTACCTTGTCTAGTCTTAAGCAGCAAAATGGCACTTTTTCATGAAGGAGATGACAAAAAGTGGGTGAACTTCCTATATATGGAGAGTAAGGTGGGTAGCCTTTAGCATATCTGTAAAACAATAGGAAATACTGAATTGCCTTGAATTAATGCAGGCAAAGTCAGACAATCAAGTTATAGCCATGTTCCTCTACTTTGATAAAGTTAGATGCAGTAATTCTTTATTTTGATATGGACATAGTTTAGAACAGGGCCCATGGACCTAATCTGGCTCATCACATGGTTTTGTGAACTAAAGTAGTTTTAATATTTTTAAATGGTTGGAAAAACAAGTCAAAAGAAGAATAATATTTCAGCTCGTGAAATTATATGAAATTTAAACTTCAGTGTCCAGAAGTGAGTTTTGTCAGAACACTGTCATGCTCACTCATTTTATGTATTGTCTTGGGGTGCTTTCACGCTTCAGAAACAGAGTTGAGTAGTTGGGGCAAAGACCACATGGTCCATAAAGCTGGAAATATTTACTAGCTGGTTCTTTCCAGGAAAAGTTTGCCAATCCTCAGTTTAAAAGATTTAGACACATTTTAGAAAATAGTAATGTTAATCTTTACAAAATATATTAAAGCAAAATGCATTATTATGATTCACTCTATCACTATTCATCAGTCATGGATGCATAACCAAAAAAGAGTAAATCATTTTAGATTGAGTAAATTATTCCATTAGACCCACACAAAAGCCAGAGTTTTTGCTGGAATCACGCTTACATATTATCAAAGATGCTCAGTTTATTTGCTGACTTTATAAATATAGTCACATTATGGTTGTAAAATTTTCAAAATGAAACTAGCAAAAAGTAGCAGCACAAATGAAAATTAAGAAATAAAAGAGAATTTAGTAGAGGCAAAGTTATTTTATCCAATATGAAAGCTCTTTTTTGATAAAGAAAATTTATCTTTCAAACCAAGAAATTTCAAATCTAGTTATTCCAGACATCATTAGCTAGGATGGTAAAATGGAGAACACTTTGCAAATTTAGAAGTTGATAGTCTCCCACTATTACTTCGACATCTTTTTCATTTTTCTAGATATAAAAAAAAATTCCACCTCAGTTTTTTCAGTACATGTAAAGAAAGAATTTGTATCACACCACACAACACCATTTCTAGAAATATACTGGTGGTCCAACCTCTTCTTCTTCCTGTCAAATATTTCATAAATCTATTTGAGTATTACTAATTTCTTGGAGAGTGGACTTGTCTTCCGTGGGTATGTGTAAGTTTCTTGTAATAAATATTTAAAAGTGTGAAGGAATAACAGAAGGATTTTTCTAAGTTTCAATTATATTTCAGTTCATTTTAGTTCAGTTCAACATTGATTGAACTTCTATTATATGAAAAATATTAGAAGTGTTTGAATGATGTTACCTTTGCCACTACGACCAATACTACACCAAATAGTATTTAATACTCATTGAATGCTTACTCTGCACAAACCATTGTCCTAAGCACATTACTCTATTACCTCAATTAATCTTCATATGAACACTATTTACAGATAAAGCATCGTGGGTCAGAAGATTTAATCAAAGTCACTGGCACACAACCAGTATAAGGTAGAACTGCCATGGGACACAAATTCCTTCAGACTCCACTGTCAAGACTGTTGAACACTGTGCTTTCCTCATGAAATGCCAACAGGGCTTCACTGGTGGCACAGTGGTTGAAAGTCCACCTGCCGATGCAGGGGACACGGGGTTCGTGCCCCCGTCCGGGAATATCCCACATGCCGCGGAGCGGCTGGGCCCATGAGCCATGGCCGCTGAGCCTGCGCGTCCGGAGCCTGTGCTCCGCAACGGGGGAGGCCACAACAGTGAGAGGCCCGTGTACCGCAAAAAAAAAAAAGAAATGCCAACATAATATACGACAAGTAAACAAACTCTACTGTAGGCTAAAATGTGATTAATAGCTTAAACATTGATACTATCTGTTATGGAATCTTAGTAAAGAGAACTAGTACTTCCTTTATTCATTCATTCAAAATATTATTGATGTATCCTGAATAAAAATGATTGCTGAATGCTGAAATAAGAGAAGCTTAATGGAAGAAGCTGCATTACATGTCATTGAATAATGGATTGAACTTCAATATGGAAGTGAAAAAATAAATTAGAGGTAGAAGGTACATTATAATTCAACAAAACCATATAATTATGAAAATACAAGCTGTATCCTTAAAGAAAAATATGTGAAATATGATATAGGTTATATCATGGAAATGCTGATTTACCTATTTTTTTCTTTAAGGATAAAGGATAATATAGAGAAAAATGAGGCTGTCAATAGCTGTTGAAGCCAGAAATTTGAGGACTTAGGCTACTTTATCATCAAGAGAGATACTGGCTAATAGGAAGGGTGTTTTGGTAGAAGCATGTAGGATTGATTCTAGGATGTCCAGAAGGGAAGGATATTAGTTTTTCATGGCAAGCACAAATCCCAGTAAATCTTACAAACATACTCCACATTTGAGGACATTTCTTCATCTGGTGTAGTTTCATCTTCTGATTGATCACTTAGAAGATCGCAAGTTTGAAGTGATGACGTATCTGCAACCTCTAAAACGGGAGCAATGCTGGGTCTTCTGACTTCTTTGTTTCCTTCTGAAGGAAGAGACAGGGTAGGGCCACTTGCTGACCTACAGCTTGTGTCTTGCAAGTCTATGGCCACAGTACCTGGAACAATGAGACATGAAAATCCATCAAAGCATTTGCCACCTAACCTATAGGACCTGTCAATCATTTAATGATCAAAGTGAGATGAAATACAGCCAGAATAACCAGGAAATATATGATATACTGTTTATCCTTTAATCTCAAAGGTTATTTATTTCTTTTTAACATGGGTATTTTTGCCCGCATGGATAAAAAAATTTCTGTATTTGTGCAAAAGTGTATTTGCTGCAACCAGCTCTATAGTATGAAACATAAGATTTGTGAAATCCTGAAATACTTAGAAATTTCAGTTAAAAAAATACCTTGTTTCCATTTATATTTATTTAAAATTAATGAAAAAAATTTAGGCCATTTGCATTTTGTGGGTTTCTCATTATATCTTTTTCCCCCATTTTTTTATCTTTCTCTTACTGATTTATAACCGCTTTTTTACATTAGAACCATTAATGTTTATGTTTATTCAGCAAATATTTATTAAGTACTCTGTGTGGCAAGCACTAGTCTAGGCACTTGAGATATGCAAGGAACAAGGCAGACAAGGTTTCTACACATACGGATTTATCTTTAAGATAATCAAGTGGACAGAGAAGTGAAAAAAGTAATTCCTGATAACGCTAAATACCATGCAGAAAATAAAACAGAATTATGTGATACGGAATAGTGGGGATGGGAAGCGGGAGGAGGGATGAGCTTTTCACTAGGCAATGACAAGGGCTACTCTGAAATCATGACATTTGATTTTTTTGACCTAAAAGAAAATCATGAGCACAGGAGCCACGGAAATACCTTGGGGCAATAAGAAGAGCGAATCCAAATAGCTTAAGGCTTTTGAATTCTTGGGATACTCAAGGAATAGTAAGTGGAAGAAACTACTTCCTTTGAGATTTTAAATTAACATTTAAAAACTAGTCTAAACATCAGTATATGGAAAGTGGATGTCTCTCCCCTTCTGGTAGAAATAATCCAATCTAACGGATGACTGCCTCCATATTTTACGATAACTCACTTCATGTATGCTTTTATGGATAGCCGGTCATCCTTCTGAAAGCCCTTAGTCCTCATTTCGTCTCATTCTTCGAAGCAACTATTAAAACACTCTCCACTTCCTTCAGACTTCTGTCTGACCTTGCCACCTTCTTCACTATAACAGCCTGAGTTTGTAAAGGGGGGGAAAAAACTCATGGGTTTTGGCATCTCAATGTTTCTGAGTGTGAAAGTTGATAGAAACAAGAGACTGGGGAGAATATCTGGGTATTCCTCAACATTGAAATGTGGGAGGTCAGGTTTTAGAGGCTAGTACCTCTTCATATACTATATACAACACTCAGATTAGAGGGAGGGGTGGGCTGGTGTGTCTACAGTCAACAGGGAAGACTCCTGCGAGGGGCCTGTAAGAATATGTCTAGAGCTGCTGTGCCCGAGGAAAGGACGTGATGACCAGCAGTCAGCAATTCCAGTATCTGAGCAGAGACAAAGGTGGTTGGCATCAGAAGCTGTACACTTGGCCACTGTTTTAGCACCATAAATAAGGATTAATTTATAATTCAATCTATCTTAGAGGTGAGATGGGGATCTTAGAAAAACTGAGATTGACTTTTCCACTAATCAGGTGACTGGATCTGATCAAACATGAAATTTTATAAGGTTGATTTATTGAAATAAAGCCATATGATATGATTTGCATCTTAATACTATTAATCCAAATCCGTATTTATGACGTTTATCCCCTGCAGATGACCACGTCGTCTAATTCAGAGAGAAAAGAGAAGTTACGGCAGAAGAAATCCTTCAACTTCTTCAAGCAAATGAACATGAGAGTTTCACCAGACATTTTTTTTTCCCCTCATTTATGTTTGGAATGAAACAGACATACCTCCATTTATGTAAAACTAAGCCCTACTCTTGCGGTGGGGATAAGTCCCCACCTGCTTCCTAAGGAACCATGTTCTCTGAATTCCACCCCCTCCCAAATATGTCTCCACATCACCTCCAGTTACCTCTTCACCATCTTCCTGACCAACACAGGAAATGTGGTCTCTCCCTGACAATTCTGCCAACACTGAAATCTGTCACCAAGCTGGGCTTGGGGGATATGACCAAGAGAAAGTCAGAATTTAGCAGAGGGAAGACACAATTTTAGAAAGCAGTCACAGTTACAGAAACAAGCTCTTCTTTGAATCCTTTCTTCCCCTAACAAAACCTGGCTCTTCTCCGACATCTCTCCCTGCAGTTCTGAAGGCTGCAACACCTAAAGAGATGTCTGTGTTTTGGAAGTGGGGAGATACCCTCAATGTTCTCACTGCCTCTTTCAGACCATTTTCCTTTCATCACCTATAATACCCCAGCTCTGTACCCAGTATCTTTCACTATATTCTTTGTTCAGTCCTGTGTCTGTCATCCCACGTAGTGTTGTTTTTTTTTTAATTGAAGTACTGCTAACATTATATTAGTTTTATATTAATTTCAGGTGTACACATAGTGATTCCATGCTTTTTTTATAGACTATACTCCACTAATGGCCTTTTCTCCCATCATTCCTTAGCCATTCACTTTCACGGTCATACCCTAGATTTTATAATTACTATTGATTACACATAAGCTCTATTTCTGGCATCTCATTCTTTGATACTTATTGTCACCTCTTCTCTTGCCAGCTCCCTCCGTTTTGATTCCCACTGGAACTATAATCTATTAAATTCACTAGCTTTTCAGTCTCCTTCAACCAACAGATGTCTTTTCACTTCCTTACCTAAGTTAAGTTCCATGGTCCATCACTGTACTCATTCTCTTACCTATACTCCTGATTAACTTGCCCTTCTCACTTTCTTGCACATCTACCATTGCCACCAAGTCTTTTCTTTGCACTCTTTTTCAGCACAACTTTTTCAGAGTCGTCTAGACCTAGTTTCTCTACATTGTCTTCTGCCATTCTGTCATAAAGCCCTCTGACCTGGCATTCTCCACTACCACGTCATTGAAAGGGCTGTTATCAAGGCAAAGAACACTGTTTTGCTAAATTCAATGGCCAGTTCTCAGTTCTCATGTTATTTGACCTACTAGCAGCATCAGACATGGCTGGTAACTCCACCCTCTGCATACACTTGATTCATTTGGATCCCAGGACAGGACACTCATCTGGTTTCCCTGCTACCTTGTAGTAGCTCCTTCTTCGTCTCCTTTGCTGGTTTCTTCCCATCATCCTGATATTAATATTGACGTGCTGCAGGATTTGGTCCTTTGTCTTTATCCCTTTTCTGCCCACAATCGTTTTCTCAATGATCTTGTTCAGTCTCATGGCTTTAAATATAATACATAAGCTCAGGAATCCAAAATTTACTTTTTCAGCATACACCTCTCTCCTGAACTCTAGACTCTTACCTCTTATTTTTTTATTTTTTTTTTTGCGGTACATGGGCCTGTCACTGTTGTGCCCTCTCCCGTTGCGGAGTACAGGCTCCGGATGCGCAGGCTCAGAGGCCATGGCTCACAGGCCCAGCCGCTCCGCGGCACATGGGATCCTCCCGGACCGGGGCACGAACCCGTGTCCCCTGCATCGGCAGGCGGACTCTCAACCACTGCGCCACCAGGGAAGCCCCTAATCTCTCGTTTGACATCTTCCTCTCAATGTCTAACAGATATTTGAAATTCACTGTGTCCCAAACTGAACTCTGTATCTCCCCTGGCTCCCACTAAACCTTTACTCCCCCACCCTCATTGATGGCCGTTCCCTTTTTCCTGCTGCTTATATGAAAAACCTTGAGTTCTTTACACTTCTCTTTTTCTTACAGTTCACTTCCCATTCAGCAGCAAATCCTGGCTCCTCTACCTTCACAGTATACACAGATTTTTTTTTTCTTTTTTACCAATGCCGCTTGAAAATACACTGGATCCTTGACCTAAAACATCTATTCTCAACAGCAGCCAAAGTGATTGTGTTAAAACGGAGTTCAGCACAGGTGAGATCACGCTGTTCCTCTGCTTAGAACTTTATAGTGACTCCCACTTCACTCAGAGTAGAAGCTACCACTCTTACATTGACTTAAAAAGCCCAACATGATCTGACCTCTTTTTACCTTTTCCCTCTCATCTCCTGTACTCTTACCATCAAATCATCATGTTTGAGTCACGAAGGCCTCTTCCATGTTTTTAAATTAATTTTTATTGGTGTATCGTTGCTTTACAATGTGTGTTAGTTTCTGCTGTACAGCAAAGTGAATCAGCTGTACGTATACATATATCTCCTATTTTTTAGACTTCCTTCCCACTTAGGTCACCACAGAGCACTGAATAGAGTTCCCTGTGCTATACAGTAGGTTCTCATTAGTTATCTGTTTTATACATAGTATCAATAGTGTAGATATGTCAATCCCAATCTCCCAATTCTTCCCACCACCCCCCCTTCCCCCTTGGTATCCATACGTTTGTTCTCTACGTCTGTGTCTCTATTTCTGCTTTGCAAATAAGATCATCTGCATCATTTTTCTAGATTCCACATGTATGCGATAATATACGACATCTGTTTTTCTCTTTCTGACTTACTTCACTCTGTATGACACTCTCTAGGTCCATCCACGTCTCTACATATGACCCAATTTTGTTCCATTTTATGGCTGAGTAATATTCCATTGTATACGAGGGCCTCCTTACTGTTCCTGGAGCACATCGGTCAGGCTCCTACTCCTACTTTAGGGCCTTTGTACTGGCTATTATCCCTGAAGGAATGTTCTTCTTTCAGACAATCACAGGGATAATTCCCTCATTTTCTTCAAGTATTTTCTCAAATGTCACCTTTTCCATGAGGCCTACAATCCACTCAAAAATCCAGTTCTCCCAAAATTCATACGCACTTTTACTAGCTCTGTTTTCTTCTCTCTTTTATCTTACTACTCATCACCTTCTAACATACTAAATAATTTACTTTTAATTTTTTTATATATGTTATCTATTGCAAGTCTTCCCCATGATAGAATGTTAGCTCTGGGAGCTAGGGATCTCTGTCTGCTTGTTCTCTAATCACAAATACTTATAAGAGTTCCTGGCACACACTAGGTACTCAATAAGTAATTCTTGTATATGTGAAAGAAATGAATAGAACTGCTACGGAAGAGAAATAATGTTATATCAATGACAATCAGATTTACTTAACAAAGTCCAAGCAGGGCCAGGAAATATGCCTCAGAGGGGGTGATATTGGGACTGAGATGCAAAGGATTAGAAGTAGTTACATAGGAAAGTTGGGGGCTGAGGAGTAAATGCCGTCCGAAGAAACAAAGCATTAAGGTCCACTGGTGAAAAACCATTAGGGAAGATTGAAATGAATTAATATGATGGGAGCTTAGGAGAGCAATTGAAGAGATGATGAAAAACCATTAGTGAAGACTCAAAGAAATTTAGTATGATTGGGACTTAAGAAAGCAATTGAAGGGATGGTAAAATGTGGGACTAAAAATATAAGAAAGAATCATTAAAAAAAAAAACTTAGTAAAGTGACAGTGTAATTTATCTTCTAAATTAAGATATTCCTGAGAGTCAAAGTAGAGTTCTGTTAATAACGACACCAGGAAAATGTATATAAACCAGTACTGTCCTGGGAAAACTGGGATTATCTCATGTAAAAAAGAGGTTTTGATCATCCAATTATAAGCCATGTTATAAAATTTAGACTTTTTTTCCAATGGCTCATAGGAAGCAATTAAAAAGATTAATGTAGGAGAATGACTATAACATTATGTAAACATTATTACTCTGGTTGCAAGGTGGAGGACAGTGTAGGGCAGCAAGGCCGGAGGCGTGCAGAAAAGATTGGGGGGATGATGCTGCAGTGGAGAGAAAGGATGAGGGAGGTTCAGACTGACCACACTGATAGCACTGAGAATGGACACAGAAATGAATGACATTAGGGGCTACTTAATGATCAGATTTAGTAGAATTCAGTGAATTATGAAGTATAAGAGGAGAGGAATCGTAAAAGTCAGACTTGTGGCATTACCAATCAGAGGAGGAAGATGTCCCATTTGTTTTTAGCAAAAAAAAAAAGGAGGTGGAAATGGTTTTGAATGAGGGGGGAAAGATTAGTTCAATTTGAATATGCCGCGTCGGTTTTTCCTGTAGGCACTCAGATAGAAATAACCCACGGACAGTTGAATATATTGTTGTGAAGAGAGGTTTAAGGTAATGATTTAGGTAAGGGAAGCATCAATTTATGGAGGACAGTTGAATCTCTGAGATCAGATGTGACTATTTAGGGAAAATGAATGTACAGGATGCAGAGGAAAAGCACTAGAGCATTTTAAGAACTGTCACACGCTGCGAAGATGTCCACTGGATTTAGTGACAAAGAGGAGAGTGGTGGCCTTGCCAGAGGAGTTTCAGTAATATAATGATTGCAGATTTCAGACTAAACTGGTAGAGACGTGAGGGAACGATAAGATTTCAAGCTGTCAACCGCAGACAGCTCTTTAGAGGAATTTATCTGTGAAAATGATGTCGTAACATGAGGTCCAGAAGTGTGTGTGTGTGTGTGTGTGTGTGTGTGTGTGTGTGTGTGTGTGTGTGTAGAGAGGTGAAGTCAGAGAGAGAGACAGAGGGAGGGAGGAGAGAATGAACCAGGGATTTTGAAAAAAAAAAAAAATTTAGGTAATGAGGATGAATAAAAGACTGAAGTCCCTAAGGGGGAAATGGAGAAGGGTCCATGGCATAAGTGAATGCATTTATACTAAAATATTAGAAGTTAAAAGAAGAAACTCATTTTCCTTGTGATAGAAACGAAATGCTTATAGGTGTGTAGGTGGTTTGGTGGCAAAATTTAAAGGAAATTCTTATTTGTCTGAATCTTTTTTTTTTTAATTTCTGTGTCACAGAAGCCAAGTTCTATGATGAGAATTAGATGGATAGGAGAGTTTTGAGAAAAATGGAGAGTATTTGAAAGAACCACTACTGATAACTGAATAGAGAACTGACAAAGAAATACAGAAGTGTCAGGTGCTTATATACTAATCAGATATATGAAATCATCGTTAGAAGTTTTGAATTAGCTTAATTTCTTACCAATTTAACAGATTAGAAATTTTGTTCTGTAATACTTAGCTATACCAAGTTTGTAATACACACAAGTATGTTTTAAATTTGGCTTTGGAATTTTAAGAAAAATTAAAGTATATTTATTATTCTTTTCAAAGAAAGAGACTAATGATATTTCCAAATGTATTTATACTTACCCATGCTGGCAATTATGCTATGTACAGGTAATCTAGATGGTCCATGATAAAATGACCTTGATACATTGCTTTTTTTCTGATGGTCGTGGTTTTTAAATGCTGAATTCTCTTCTTTGGTAATATTAATATAGAAACATATATCTGTAGCACTCATAATATATCGAGGACCTGGATTCAGCAAAATGTTTTTATTATCCTCCCTCCTAATACCAATCAAGCAGACACCAAACCTTAATTTAAAAAAGAAAATAAAAGAGTTTAAGGGTTAAATTCAGCAATTAGTTGTTTTTTTTTAAAGTTCACATATGTAAGAAAATAATTAAACTATTATAAGGCAGAGAAAAATTAAAACCTCAAATAAGAACATTTGAAAGCTTGAAAAGATCCTAAAAGTTCAAGGCTCTTGTTTTTAAAGGAAAAAAAAAAAAACAACTATGTCCTTAGTGTGTTGTGAAATCAATTTAGTTAATTAAGACTATATATGTTTTTTAATAAAAAAGAATGGAATAAAAGATAATAGAAATATCAGAGTACATATCATTTAGTAAGGGTAAGAGTTTTATTGTAAATTTTGTGTGTGTGTACTGGGTCTTACCATAAAATGTATACCTTAATTTGGTCAAAAAAGATAAAACAGTATTTCTTACTTTGGTCAAAAAAGTTTGACAGCCATTGGCTTAGGGGAGAGGAAGAAACTTACTCAAGGTCACAAGAGAAAGAATTAGGGTCCCTAAATTTATTTTTGTTCTGTCTTGAATTTTAGAAAAAAATTTAGGAAAAAAAATTAAATAGCATTGAATAGGTACACAACTTAATTAGGAGAAATAATAACCACTAAATGTAACAGGTGTTACTTAACATTTCTTATATACTTTTTCAGGTTATGTTCCAAACACAAAACCTTCTGAATATTTTTATCTCATTATGTCTTACAGTGTTACAAATAAATCAAACTTAAAAATATTTTTTAAATATAAAAAAAGTATATAAACAGAATCATGTTGGGAATTAAAGTAGAATACTTTAGATATTAGATTACTGGAATATACTAGATTATTACAAATCTTAAAAATGTTATATTAATATTTTATAATACTAATAATATATTATTTTCATGTTAGACATACTTTTTATTTCTTAAGTAAAGAATTTCTCTCAAAAAGAACAAAAATAATAATGTTCTATGTTTGAATTGGAAGGTACTATCATTTATTTTTTAACTTATTTTTCTGGACAAAGCAAGTTTTAAAAAAATGTCTAGCTTTTATAAATGTTATTTTTACTTTGTTTAAATTTTTAATCACCACTTTAAAATTTAGATTTATAAAGGAGATTCATTTTCATGTGAATTTTTACAGGATTAAAATATTTTTAAAGATAAATTAAAAGATACTAAAGTCAATATTCTTACTAAGTTATATGATACACCCAAGAATCTTAACTCATAGAGACCATACCAAAGGCCAGAATTCAAATGTCTCAATAATTATGTCAAAAATTCAAGAATAATTGCAACTTATGAGCACCAATATGGGTTATATTATGGAAAACTGTGTTTAAAGGTATGACTGATTAATATTTTAATTCCACTCTGGAAGCAGAAACATACTTTTTGTGTGCATGGAAAGAAGCATAGGTGAAGCTCTTTCCTTCATATTCAGCAAAAAATGTACTTTCTTCCAAAACGATGTGGTACACTTCATTCCCAGAGCATCTGCCGTACATCTTCTGCCATTGTTCTGGCGATTGCTGGCCTTCTCTGCAACAAAAGCATACACACATACACACAGAGAGAGACAAACAGTGAATGTGGTTCAAAAAACAGTCCTTGTCATACATAATCTGGAGTTTTCCAACTGTAAGAATGGACAAGCACAGTTCAAAGAAGTTATCTGTGTGGTGCTCAAAATGATGACACGATTTACAAAGAGTTGCTATAAAAATTTCGAAACTAACACAACATAGAAGCTTGAGAGATGGCAAATTTTTAAAAAGTAGAAGGTTTTCACAATCCAGTTAATAAAAGCATTTATTGTGATCATGAACCAGTGAGCTATAGCATCTGATTTTTAGTCTTTGTTTATGTATATCATGTCATGCACGACCTATATATAATACTTGTCTTATAGTCTCAGTAATACAGCCCACTTCATCCCCTTTATGATACCTGCTTGGCTCCTGTATGTAACTGACTTCGCTTTGTATTTAAAATTATGAATACATACATCTCAAATTATCAGTTTGATTTTATAGAAAACATACTCTTAATTTCTATCCATATCATAGCAATGGATTTCTTCCAATTGTGTATCAGTTAAGAAAAGATACTTCTTTGTGATAAAAGTAAGGATCTCCAAAAGAGATTACCAGAAGTATTTTTTAAAAGAATATAAGTTTATCACAGAAAGTGCAGTTTCCTTTTTATTCTAGAATATTCTGCTCAGTGAGTTGGGAAATTTATTAAAAACTCAACTTATGACAAAATTTATTGTGAATATACAATTATGATTTTTCCCATTTTGTACAATAAATTCCATTTACTTTTGGTGAATAAAGTTAATGAACTCTGTAAGTACAACAAATGAACCTTCTAGAAGAAAAGAGATGAATTTATAAAAATCAAAATATTTCATCATAACCTCTGTAGCTTCTGGATGGATTAAAGCAGACAAGTCATATTTATCATATTTTAAACTCTGAGTTTTGTCTGAAAACATAAAACATTTATAAAAATTTTCAAAGTGTCAATAAATTTTTAAAAAACCATATATTTTCTAGGTATGTTTCACTTGCACTTCATTCCTTCTTAAGGATGTTTAAGGGTTAAGAGTCTGAGCCTTGGAGTCTGACTGCCTGATGTGAACCCTAACTCTGCAATCTTGGGTGAGTTATTTAACTTCTCTGTGATACTTTACTTCTGTAAAAACATTATCAGTCTCACTGGGTTGGAGAAAATGCAGTAAATCAAGTAAATCATTTAGCAGATGTTGGGAACACAGTAATCTTCAGTAAATGTTAGCATCCATTATTATTTTGCTGTTATATCTTCCTCATTGCTGATTCGGGAGCCACTTTCAACATTCCTAGTCACAATATGAACAATATTGCTCTTAAAATCTTCACCCTTTCTTCTGTAATGTTAACATATTTTTGAAACTAGGAAAATAAAACAAAACACATTTGGCTATTGACTATATATGGCTACACCTAACTACTACTTCCTAAGAATGATTGTTCTTGGTGGAGAAAACTCTTCCTTTGGCCAACAGAAATAAAACTATTTTTGGTAGGTAACATATTGCTACTTGGCAAGATAGTACTTGGCAAAGATAGAATTCGTTTAAAGGGCTGAAAATGTAAGAGAAGGTGCCAGTAATTCATCAGGGTTTGTGTGTCATCCAAAAGGCCTCATGGGGTCAAATAATTGTCACATAAGGGCACTAAAAGCTATTCAAGAGAATCACAAATCTAATTCCAGCAGCTGAAATGGAAACACAATATGGTAACTTGGAAGGAAACAGAGAAGGACGGGGTCAGACAAGGACAGCTCTGATGAATTTCCTTAAATTACTTGCTGGTTCCATGCTATTTTATACTGGCACCTTTTTACCAAACATCTTTAATGAATCTCTAAGTTCAGCTAATTGTAAATATATAATTCTTTTTGCTTTCACTTCATGTTAATTACTTGAGAAATGTTGGAAATGAGCAACTCCATCTACTACTAATGGGTATGTCCAAGTCTCACTTATTAATTCCTACATGAAATATTTATTGAGCACGTGGGAGGCGGCAAGAAAAGTTCTAGATTTCTAGGCGATGACAGTTGACAAAAAGGGCAGACCTACTTTCTTTCTTGAATCCTTTAGTGGAGGAAAACTGACAATACAGCAAATTATGTGTTGGAAGTGATAAGTGGTGGGGGGAAAAATAAAGCAGAGAGGGAAATCGTTTTCAGGGGTGGATTGGAGTATAAATAGTATGACTGAGGAAGACCTCGCTGAGAGAATGCCATTTAAGTAAAAATCTTGAAATGGATGAGAGAGGTAGTCACAGGGGAGAAGACTGTTTCTGGCAGAAGCAGCAGCAAGTGCTTCCCTGAGGCAGGGGGATGCCTGGTATGGCTGAGGAGAAGCAAGGAAGCCAGTTTGGCTGAGGTTGAGGAAGGAGGAGAAAAGGAGGCCAGAGAAGTAACTGGCAGGGAGACAGGTCATGAAGGGATTTCTAAAATCTTACTACTTTGACCTTTATAGGTAAAATTTGCAAAAGATTCTGACTTATACTTTGCAAAAATCCCTCTGGTCATTGTCCTGAGAATAGACTGAAGCAGCAGCAATGAGCAGTGAGGAGTTTATTGCAATGATTTAGCAAGAAGATGATGGCTTGGACCAGGTGAGATCCTGGGTGTGTTCTGCAAGTGGACTTGAAAGTATCTGCTGATGGAAGAGAAAAATAAAAATAAACACCTTAAGTGCCCATGCCCATCAGAAATATGAAAATTAAATGAATAAACATCCATACAGATAAAAGTGAAAATGTAAGTACTAATGCTTATAAAGCACCATGGGGAAATCTCAAATACGAAATGTTAAAAGGATTAAGTAGCGCTAGGTGGCTCATTTAGTTAACCAGGTCCTAGGGAAGAAGACACATAAATCAGAGATAGTATATGTGGGCTTCACAAACATGTGGAATGTTTATTTTTTCTAAATTTGGAATGCTAGGTTCATGGATGCTCATAATAATATTCTTATACCTTTGAATAGCTGAAATATTTTCTAACAAATAAAAACTAAAATGCATCACCAAAGTGAAAACACAAACCAGGGCTAGTAGTAAGGATTTTAAGCTTTTTGTTGTTATATTTTTCACTGCTACCTTTCAAGGCAGCATTACAGGCTGCCCTATACAAAGCCTCCCTGCTTACCAACATTTTGAGACTAACATTTTATTTAGGCAGAAAGTAATATTTTCCCCTCTTACTATGAGGAATGTATCAACAATTTTTTTCCAAAAAGCTACCCAGTTTTTCAATTTATTGAATAGTCCATCTTTTCACACCCTGGTTTAAAATAACTCCCCTATCAAACACCAAATTCCTGTTGCCTACGGGCCTCGATCTCAACTTTCTAGTCGGTCAAATTGACTTGCCTCTACCCATTACCTAACACTACCTAGGTCGACTATTGTAGCTATAAAATTGTTTCAAAATACATCAGGATAATCCCTCTCGTTATTATTCTCCTTCAAAAATTTTCTTGCTATTCTTGTCTCTTCATTTTTCCATACGAACTTAAAATCAGCTGGTTTACTTCAAAAAGAATACCTTTGATATGATTATTGGGATGATTAATAAATTTGGGTGAAATTGACAGCCTTGTGATATTGACAATCTTCATTTGTATGTTTATTACTTGTCTATTTCTTCCACCATCTCTCACTCATCCTGCAGCAGAATGTAAGCACCAGAACTTCTCAGTCCATTGTCTATCCTGATCTCTGTGGGATCTCCAGTAAATAGAACATCTTCTAGAATACAGTGAATGTTCAAAAAATGTTTGTTTAATGACAGCATTTAATTCTTCTGACAATCTGTGAGATGCATGCTAGTATTATGCCCATCACACAGATAAAGAAACTGAGGCTTAATGGTTTCAAGTCTTTGGTCTTGCCAGCATGGACAGACCAAAGAATTCAACCCAGGCAGTCTGGCTACAAACACTGCCCCTTACTCCGAAGCTTCAGTTCTGAGTAACTCCAATATTTAGTGTGAATGTGTAGCTGTTCTATTACTTTTCTTCAGGATACTAGAATGTGAGAGCCAAATTTTCCTTTTACCCTTATTAATAATACAAGGCATTTTATAGCCTGTAGATTTGTAAAAAAACAAAAACAAAATAAAAAACTTCTGATTTGTCTTCAACTTACCATTCTACCCGAATTTTCCTTTGTCTTTTCCCACTTTACGTATCTGGGGAGACTTAATTCAAGATTATTTTTGAATGAGAGGAAATGTATCATATAAATAAATAATATATTTCCAAATATTTTATACAAGAGAATTCTTTAGTTCTACCACTTAAGTAGCTCGTAAGTAGCACTTACCTATTTCTCCACCATCCACTCTTACACTCCTAAAAACTGTGCTAACCCATCTCCTAGCTTCCTTGCTTCCTGTGTTGATTGGTGCTACATTAGGAGTGAATTTCAAAATCTCAAATCACTTCATGTCACTCTCCTGCTGAAAATAGTTAAAGGGCTTCCTCCTTCCATTTGAAAAAGGTGAACTTTCTTACCATCATTACAAAGCCCTCCTGACCTATGCCATGCCTGTCTTCCAAATTTCAAATATCATTCCTGTGTCGTTTCTCTTGAGTTCTCCAGCCATGAGCAGTCTTTAATTTCCCCTGAAGAAGAGACTCTTTTATCTTGGTCTTCTCACAATGCTGTTCTTTCTTCCTCCTACGCCTTCCTCGTTCCTGGACCCACAGCTCAGGCATTACTCTCTCAGCTGTGCGGTGGTGTACTTCCTTCATGATATTATAACACTAAATTGTATTAACTAATCCTTAATGTCTTGCTTCCCTGTGAAATAGGCCCCATGAGGAAAGGGATCATGTCCTGTTTACCACTGTATCTCTGAGACAAGACATCTGTTCTGACACAGAGTAACTGCTTAATAAATGTTTTGTTAAGTGAACAAAGAATAACCTAACAATGTTCTTCATGCTCAGTTACTAAATGTTCTGCTTTTCTAAT